GTCCCTGCGGCCTCGAGGACCAATGTCCTCCTCGTCTCCGCTCGTGACAAACCAAGCATGCGGCCTGCCATCTGCCGGCTCGGACGTCCGGACCCACCCTCCGCAGCCTGCGTCTGAACAGGCGTACGTCCCGTGAAGACGCCCCTCCCGGCGTCGTAATCCGCCCGCAACCGGTCCCCGACCCGACGAACAGCTGACCATCCGCCACCCACACCTCCTCGGACTGGCGGCGGGGAACCGCCACTGTGCGCAACTCCGGGTGCCACCGTCCGGTCCCCGGTGTCGACCCTGGCCTCTGGAGTCCGTGCGGGCGGTGGAGGCATCGATCCTGCACTATCTCTGCCGCCGTCGCTGCGTCTGTCGGACCCCACCTCACCCGCACCGGACTCCCTCCCTCTAACGTCGCTGAGCAACGAACCCGACCAGTCAGGGCTCTGCACTGTGAGCGGTCGCGGTGAATACACCCTCTCAGGGGCCCGTTGCTTGCCGCTCTTGCAGCTCACGTGTGCGAAAGGGTTATCTGTCAACGCATGCGCCAAAGCGTCGGCGTCGAAGAAAGTGTGCATTGTGTCGGCATGGCGCAACAGAGGCAATGTGGGATCCCTCAACACCAAGGCGAGCCTATACGGATCATCCTCGGGACTGTGGTCGTCGTCATCTTCGTCGTCCGATCCATCATCTCCACCGACATCCGCGGTGTCCCCATCTCCACCGGGTCCACCCTCTCCTCCGCCGCACACTGCGGCACCCTATCCCTCATCACCCGCGGTCTCGCTGTCGCCACGGCCCCCACTAGGGGACCCACCGCCCATGACAACATCGTGCCCCTCAGGGACACCCGCGGTCTCCTCGTCGCCGCGTCGTCCACCAACTGACCCACCACCCGCGGCGGCATCCTGCCCCTCATAATCGAACTCCCCCTGAACCGCCTCCTCAGGGACACCCGCGTCGTCGACGTCACGGCTCCCCCCCCCTCCTGTCTCCAAGTCCCTCTGCCGACGCTGCTCGTCGAGATATTTGAACCGACCCTCCCACTGTGGCAAACTCCTCAGCTGCTCCTCCTCCTCTCGGTCCAAACGGGCATCCCTCTCCTCCTCAGTCTCAACAGGGCCTCGCTCAACGTCCGCGTCTGTGCGCACATCCTGCGGTGAGGCACATCGACGTCCCTCGACACTCAAATCTCCCAAGCTCCCACCAAGCCCTATGTCCTCGAAGTCCTGTGTGCGGAGCACCGATGACGAGCGGGGGCGAATACCGGCGTCGGAAGGCCCGGAGTCCTCTCCCCCCCACGATCCTCGCCGTCATGTGTCGGGTCTCTGCCCGCTGCCGACGCCAACCTCTCTGAACGCCTAAGTGCCTCGGGCTGTGCAGAGATCGAATGATGGGAGGGAGAGAAGCGACGATCATGAAGGGGCACCTCCTCATCCTCGGCCTCCCCCTCGGCCTCGCTGTCGCTCCTAACCTCCCAACGCCTGCCTATGTTCCGAAGACCTCCCAGTGGCTGCTGCTCCCCTGAGTCGTCCATGCGAACCTCTGCATGCGAACATCCTCCAATACCACCGCCGGCTCTGCTGCTGCCACTCGCCTGCGCAGTCGACGGCACACCACCAGTGATAACCGATGTGTGTGAATCCATGTCGTAACGACCCCCACCGTAAGTGAAGTACACTCGCTCAGCCGTCGGGTCGCGACTCAGCGGCGTCTCATCATCGTCAGTCCAGTCGTCATCGATGTCGTCGCCTGCCGCAACAGCGTCCACATCATCCCCACCCTCCGGCCACGGTCGCAGCTCCGTCGCTCTGCTGCCGAACACGTCCCGAACCGAACGGGCTCTGGATGGTCGGCTGTCACGGAAAGCGACAATCTGTCGCTGGATCTCCTACTCGAGAACACTACCATCAAGTCACGCTCCCCACACCTCGGGCTCCACATCTCCCTCCTCATCCTCCTCCTCTGTCGCCGTCCCCCCCCGACCGGTCCCCATAACCCATGGCAACACGTGGCCACCACCCTGCCGTGCGCATGAGGCCAGTTTGAGATTGGTGGCAATCTCAACCAGCTGTGCAAGCTTGGTGAACCCAAGCTTGCAGCGCCTCGCCGTGCTGATGCGCTCGTGCTCCGCCCAGTTCCTCTCCGCTGGAGAGGCAGACGTCCACAAGTGTATGACACGGATGGCGATGGTGCGCAACTCCGGGTGGGCATGTCCATGCTCGAACCACCACGCTGCAGATCGCTCGGTCTCACTATCCCCCCTGCAATCGGTCGCCTCGGCATCGGAGAGGTCACGGTCTCCCCAATCCCCTCGCCTCGAGTGGAACGCCCTCATCTGGTCCCTCACGGTCCTGTACAATAAGCCAACCGGATCACCGCCTGTCTGCGCCAGGAGAAATTTGTCGCACTCCTCGACCATACGACGGCCGTCGGTGGTCGTCTCCAGCGAATGGTAATACGTGAGGGACCGTCGACGAGGGTTGAGGAGGTAGGCCACGACATGTGCGGGCTCTAGCATGTGGAGGTTGCAGATCGCAACCTCACGCACGCACGGCTCGATCATGTCTGTCGGCACGCCGACCCTGCTCATCAACTGCAGCAGATGCTGACTCCTCTCGTAAACGACGGACATCATCATCCCACCTCTATCCATTCTGCGCAGCAGCTGGTAGACGAGCGACATGACTAGGATGGCGTAATGGACACGCTGCCAAAACTCCCCGTCCCGGATCTGCTGCTGCAGCAGCCACTGTGCCTGAGATACGTGGGCGCGATCCCACGGGATGCGTGCCCAAGCATCCCCGTGCAACATGCTCTCCAACACGTCTCGTCGGCCTTTGAGACACGTGAGCATCAGGAAAACTGATGCAAACCGTGTCTCAATGGGCTCGACGAGCTGAACGCGAGGGCTCACCTTCCTAAAAAGGGTGTGAGCAGTGCCGTGCGATTTAATAAATCGCACAAGCGCTCGAGCGTGGATGATGGTCTCCTTGACCCACACCACTCGCGTCGCGATATCTGACAACATCAAGTTGCAGACATGGGTGGAACAGGGGAGCCAAGTGATCCTCCTGATCTTAGGCTCGGGGTCTGTGGCGAACCTGCGGGCTACCGCCGTATAGTTACTGGCGGAGTCTGTGCAGAAGCCGATCACGTCCTTTGCAGGAAAAGACAAGATGATGGCCCGCCACCTACGGTACACGACGTCCGTTGTGTCTCGGACCGACCCGTCACGTGCGACGGTGGCGTACAGCAGGGCGCCGTTGGTGCCCCCGGCGAGGAAGTTCACGAGCGGCTTGCCGCTGCGCGACTTTCTCCCGTCAGAAAGGATAGTGGCACTGCTGTGCCGGAAAGTGGCGCGCACCTCGCTCACCATCGTCGCCACCTTCGCCCTCTGCGAAGGGATACTGGCGCCCGCTGTAACCGTGTAGGAGGGAAACCGGAACTGGGTAGAGCAAGGCACTCTCTCTGCTGCCTGCCGCACCCTCTGGAACTTCGGACCACGGAAGGCGTTGAATGGCAACTTCTTCACGTAGATCCACTGAAGCCACGCGTCTGTGAACTCGGCCAACTTCTCCCTGGCATACATCTCGTCAATCGTGGTCTGCCGAACCCTCTTCTCCCTACCCGTGTCTGGCACCTCGACGCCAGCCTGCCCCACTGTCCTCTTCTCCCTCCTCGCGCGCTCCACCTCAGCTCGCGACGCCCTAGTAGCAGGACTCGCTCCACCGACGCCTCTCGACGTCATCACCACCATCCTCCCCTGGCAGGTTAGGCTCTCCGACTGCCTCGTCTGCCACCGCCCCCTCCCTGGCCCCACCCTCGTGGCGCTCCTCCTCATCGAGGGCGTCCTGAATGTCGTCCCTCTCTGCGTCGTCCATCCGCTGTCTCTGGCCACCCGCGGGCGCTCTCGTGTCTCGTATGCCCTCGTCTGCCATCCACCTCTGCACCTGCTGAGCAGTGGATGACACAAATGTGTAATCCGTGCCGTTCCAGAGTTCCGTTGTCGCGCGCATCGGCCCTCGTGTGAAAACGAGGGCCCTCCCGGCCATGTCACGCAGGAGTTTACCTAAAAACACATCTTTCATAGATAACTCGGGAACGACGCATACTGTTCCGTGAACCACCGAGACGGACGCGGTTGCTTCGCTCCTTCGCCGCTCTAGCCGGGTGCGCCAGCTATACATCCCACGGTCCCCTACGACAGGACAGGTTCCCGCGGGGCATAAGCTTGCATCCCTAAGGGGCTGTCACCACCCTTAGGGGCGTATCCCTATCGAGCTACTGATCCACGTGCGAAGGCTTTTATGTGCAATCGCAGAGGTAGATCAGTTGAGGGTGTTTGCTCGTCTCGCTGCAGTATAGGAATTGTTTGACTAAACGCCGAATAAACCCGTGCGTCATTCGTTCCCCGGGGCGCTGATCTCCCAAGTACGAAGTGTACGCCGGTCGACTAGGACACTCTCAACCAAACGTGAAAACGATCCTTAGTCCCTAGCAATCAAACAACAAAAAAATCCCCATACTTAAAAATAAAATCACAAAATCCAAATTGTTGACTTGATGAGCTGGTCTGCCAAAGTGTCTATTTTTCGACCTGTATGACTGAAAGAACTTTTATATTGTCATTCCAAGATTATTAATTTAAAGAAATAAATTAAGAATAATTTTCTTATCATGACTATTGAAACTTGTCATGAATAGTTTTTGTAAATAAATATCACTGGTACCATGCAGATCAACAAGTGATCTAGTTCTTGGTCGATGTTTGAGCTCCAAGTTCGACCGCGCTTTTGTACCATTTTCAACTATTTTGGAGGAGCGGGTAACAAACTTGTTGGTCGCTTTGCCCTCCTATACAATAATTACTCTTTCTGTTTCACGAATGATGGAGTATCCATCTCTAATGCCAAGTTACGCAACGCAGAAATATTTCATTTTCCGTTGCTTTGCTTAACAACTTTTTCAGACGTTCGCTTTTTACTTTATCGAACTTATTTTTATGCGGACGAYTACCCCTCAATGCATAAGCATGATAGTAAAATCATCGGGGTAATCCGAATACTATCCATCCGGCGGTCCTAACTTCATAAAGTGTTTTGTTTTTGTTTTTARATTACCTCGTGAAACCATAAGTTATATGGTTTCCTCAACGGGACTGAGGCCATGCGAAGTGTTTTCTGAAATCTGAGTAAGATTTCAGAAGACGGTGTCTAATCCTAGTAAATATCTCGTCCGCCTCGCACCTGTGTCTCCAATAAATCCAAACGCGCCTGCTCGTCGCCGTCAAAAATCAAAGTAGACCTTCGTCCACATCGCATGACTCTAACAATCTGAGTATTATAGAAGGAGGTCATCCGAGAGGCTAATCTCCAAACTATAACGCGGAGAGGTCGACTAAGTCCGAACAGATGTCGAGTCTCTGTGTCCTGGATCCAGACGACGCCGAAACGCCTACCGGACGAAGTAATTTTGATACTCACAATGACTCGAGAGAGGCATTGGAGGTTACTCGCACGGTGGAAATACAAAGTATATCCGTAAAGCTCGTCGGAAGTCCGAGCCGTGTTGGCTCGGAAATCTGCGTGAGTAGTAGGGAAAAATCCCTCGCCATTTTGAAGCAGTTCGATGAAGCCGAGCCAGTTGATAGAAGATCCATCCCGTACTCGTAAAAGTCGTGCCGCACTCCTGATGAGATCCTCCTCGTGTGTATCACGAACCAGCAGATACCTCGGGATCG